TAAAAAAAATCACTCTCTATGTGACTTTTTAGGTATTTTTTAATGATTTCATAATAGATTTGTAACAGAGAAGATTTTCGCTCCAGTACTTTATTTGCTACAGGTCTGAAAAGGAAGATATTTAGAAGGCCGTCGTGTTTATTTACATTTCGCCTCTCTTTCCTCTGCTTAAGATATTTTTCTATGGTGAATGACACTCACATATCCATTCAATAGTCAATGACATTTCATGTTACAGGGTTATATTTTCATTTTTTTCGGAAAAAATACTAAATATTTTTCATGTTTTAACATTACTACAATTTATGAAAAAATATAAATTTGCATTATCTATATATAGAATGAACATGATACTTGAATTTAAAAAAAAACTGAATGGTGCTGCCATCTAGTAGCAGCAATTCCTACATGCGCAATGGGATGTATTTGTCCCACCTTTTAATTTTAACCATTTTTAATTAATATACAGTCAAAAGTCTTTAATCCGGACGTCCATAATTCGGAATGATCTATAATCCGGACCTCAAAGCTACAAACTTTCTGCACATGTGTAAATGCATTATGCATTTACGCATACACATAATACCTTCATGCATGTGCATATGCGTTAACGCATGCGCATAATACGTTTACGCATGCGCGTTTAATGCATAACGGATGGTATAAGCTAAGCTAAAATTATCTAATTCAGTTAATGTTGCAGACTGCGTTTCGATTTCCGATATATATTTACTAATATGTAAAGGATCTACAAAGCGAAAGTATGTTTCGAGGTCCATTAAACAAAAAGTGGAATTGCTGCAAAAAATGGATAAAGGCATATCCTTCATTTCTCTAACCATTTCGAAATCTGTTTATCAATTTCACGCTGCTCTGTGGGGGGGGGAGGGAAGAGGACGTCGTGGCGTGCAATGACAATAATTGTAAGTTAATCTGTCAGCACTACAGGACAGATGTTTTTATTTTATTCGGCTTATAATTCTTTACTAAATGCAGTATGTCATCTCGATGTACTCCGTCTTTGATATGATTTAAATCAAATTCCTCGTCATTATAAATATTACGAATACACATCAAATAGTTTTCTGGTTGCAATTTTCTAATTTCGACTATGCGTAATGTATGCTTTATGCTTGTGCACGTTGAAAGAAATGTTTAATAAAGTAAACAAATAAATATTAAGCTTTTTTTGGTAAATTTTTATACTTTTTAGATCATAATTGCTCTTTATTTCATAAATTACAGGTTCATATTTTTAATTTTATAATTTCTGCATGCGATCTTACCAGATTTAAATTGATGATCTATAATGCGGAAAAACTGATAATCCAGAATCGCCGAAGTCCCGACGAGTCCAGATTAAAGTCTTTTGACTGTATATGAATTCAAATAATAATTATTATTAGAAAAGGAAACTTTCAGATAAAAAATATTCATTCTGCACCAGAAGTTGTTGTTCAGACGATTTAAATTGCATAAGAAAATAAGAAAACCCCCCCCGAAAAAAAATGCTTCAAAGTTAGACCTGTAAGGAATTTTTATTGTACATTATTTCCATGAATGAATACTAGTGCTGTTATCTGTTATACATTTAGAAAATTAAAAAGCATAATTGTATGCATTTTAAATGGAATTTTGCAGCTTTCATCTGGGAGATAAAGACATAAAAAGGTGGGACGCCTGTTGTCCCACCGCCCATCAAAGGAGTAAGATGGCAAGTAGAAATTATAAAAAATTATAAAATTAAAAATATGAAATGGTGATTTATAAAATAATGAAGCATTTATGATCTAAAGGATAACAAAATCAACAAAAAAAGCTTAATATTTATTTGTTTACTTTATTAAAAATTTCTTTCAATGTAAGTTGTTTAAGTTTCTTTTTTTGTGCTAATACTTTCTCTTTAATTCTACTGACAGACATAATTTCTTGTTCAGTTACAAAATTCCATTTTGTTCAAGACCTGTAATTGCGGTGTCGAGAATTCCAACTAACTTATCAATCGAAATGTTTTAATTTTCAATAACCTCTCTGTCACTTTCTTCACTTTCGGTAGTGGTATTTTCTGGATTTAGAACTATACTATAGATTTTGCCATCTGTTAATTGATTGATCATTGGGATATTGTCATCGCAATTAAAATCTTCTGTTATGCAATCTTCATTTATTAGAGCTTCTCCACATTTCTTTACAAAACTCATTAATTGAAAAATTTCATCTTTGGTTCACGATATCCGAAAACCTTCAGATTTGCGGCTATCATATTCGTCATCCTCACCATGAAATATAGTAGCTGGCCATAAACTATGCCAAACATTTTTTAAAGTATCTGGAGACACATCCTCCCACGATCTTGTGATGCTCCACAAAGCAGATTTTATGCAAAAATATTTAAAAAAATTCTTGAATAGTCTTGCCCATTATTCAAGAAATGTAACATAGCTTTTAAAAATTCTACTTTATATTTGCATTTCAGCACGCAGACTATTCCGATATCCATAGGCTGAATGATGGGCGCACAATTTGAAGGAAAGAATAATATGGATACATCATCTTTCTATAAAACTTGAATTTAAAAATAATAAGCTGGATCAAACTAGAAAGTTAAGGAACAGTGCATATTGTGCTATATCAACTGAAATTGTAGCACTATATTGACTGAAATTCCTTGTGAATCAGAAAAGTATAATTTTAGACTAGCTTAATAGCATCTGCTATACATTATTGGCTGTGTTTCATGAGATTGGTGATGAAAGTCAAGTTGTTCTGCTAAATCTTGTCTTGCTTCTATCATGCACTGAGACAGTTAAGCCTGAATTGTATTAGTTTAGTTATTTATTATACTTACATCTATTTCTTGCACATGCTCAAGGCTTATGCGAGTTCTGATGAAATAAATTCCCACATATGCTTAAGGCTTATTGAGGGCCAGTGCTAGACATTGTACCGCCTGATGTACTCTTTGCAGGTCCTGAATTCTGCTACCAAGCACCTCCCTAACTTCTAAATTTTTGCTGCCCCTAAATTTCAGTTCCCAGTTCTTTCCCTAAATTAAAAAAAAAAATGTCATCCCTTGATTTTGTTTCTCAGTGCTTCTCTAAATTCTTCTGCCTGGTGTGGCCATACAAGCTCTAGCATCGGTTCTGGGTTTATGTGAAAAACAAATCAGTTACTCTTAATTCAAATAGCACTAAATGTTATCTTTTGGCTATTGAGTATCATTAAAAAAATTTAATTTTTAGCATATGGAAAGAGATTTTTGTTAAATTTTTCCTCATCAACAATTCTTAGCGCATTATTTAAAACTTAAATCTGTAATCATTGCCAAGCGTAATGTCAACATAAAAGGTTACCATACTCTTTGTTATTAAATCATTAATATATATATAAATCTGAAAGGTTTCAGATTTTAAATTATGTCCAAAGGGGCGGTTTTTGTAACATTTTTGTGTTACCTTTAAATAAAGGTATAAATTATTAAATTAAATATCATGTTCTTTGCACTTTAATCAGAAAATTCAGTTCAAGAGTAATATCGCAAAATAATTTTAAATTGAGCATATCTGTAGAATTTCTGATACACAGTCTCATGCGCTGGATATAAAAATGTTTATTCTGTACAATGTTGCCATTGCTCTCTTTGAAATCCTTGAGTTTGTTAATAAAAAATTCATTAAAGTTTTATAAAATATGAAACTGATAATAAAACTAATTCCAGATTTCAAATTTGGGCTTCCAGATGCCCGTATTCGCAGTAGGATTATGTCATTCAAAATTTGATGGCTCTAGGTACCATAGTTTTATCACAGTGTGAGAAACATACATACATTTATGCAGATTCTTTATTATTTAATTTCTTCAAATATAATATGGGGCAATAATATTTGGTGGCAACAGTTTAATGAGTGAAATGGACATTCAGAGTGATTCAACGCAAAATCACAAAATGAAAACAATAGCCGCTCAGGGACAAAGCCCTTTTGGACTAAAAATTATTTGGTCATCACTGCATGAGTCATTATTCAAGTTTTCATGTGTTGATAAACATGCAGTGATGAAAGCAAAATACAATAAATAATGATTCATCAGGTTGACATCAGAAATATAAAATATTAGTAGATGTAAAATCAATGTTGTTTGTATGTAGAATGTTTAGTCTTGAGATGTAGGCCAAGCAGATATGCAGCTATGGATCCAAATTATTTACCACACAAATTTATGCTAAATTATTGCTTCTTTAATAACAAGGTATTTATTTAGTGCTGAAGTGAAATTAAGAATTGGGACTCTCTACATGTTTCATTATGGGGGGGGGGGGGAATCAAATGCGCATGCGTAAAGCACACACACACTAAAAAAGGCTTAGTGGTTTTGAGTCCGGATATTGGATGTCCAGATCTCGGACTTTGTACTGGATCTTTAACCCATTTCCCATAATTTAAAAATATGGGAGAATATCTGATTTTAGTCAAGGATAAAAAAAATTACCAATTAAAATCATGATGTGAATCACTGATTTTAATCACATGATTAAAATCATTGGCATAGTTGTAATGATATTTCAAGGTAAATATGCATTATAAAATTAAGCATAGTTCCTTTAAAATCTTTCTTGTTTTAATTTACTTCATAGAATAAATCAAACAAGCATCATATTTAATTTTATGCCAGTTTTATCATTCTCCTTATCTTCAAATATTTGCCTTCTTTCCATATTTCAGCTTCATTCATATTCACTTATTTATTTCTCAATTTTAAAAGATAATTGAAAAGGTACTATTATTATGACAAGTAAAAATTTAACGTTTAGATCTATGGATATTATAAACTGGAAAATAATGTATTCTTTTAAATAGCAGTTACATATACGCTTGATATTCAGCTGAAAGCATTGTATTTGGCAAAGCAGAAATGTTATTTTATTTTTGATATTTTGTGTATTGTCTATGGTATTTTCATATTTCTTTCTTAAAAACTAGTTATTTATCTTTTCTGCTTAGCATTGCCATTGAACCCCTCTATCCTCATTTATGCATTCAACAGTCAGTTTTTGATACTGCACCTAATCCGAGATTTCTTAGTTTCGATAACTTAAGCTCTATTCTAAACACATTACCTTGTGGGCTGTGTTTTCACCGAGAAGATCCAATCAGTTTGTATCATCTCATTATGGAGGTTAGTGAAATTACCATTTAAACTCTTTTGTATTTGAATTCATGTATTTTAAATAGTCAACATGTATAACTTATATAACTTATGTATATACTTAAAACTTATTATATATAAGTATAACTTATATATATACTTAAAACTATTATATATAAGTATATTATATATACTTAAAACTTATTATATATAAGTATAACTTATATATATACTTAAAAATAAAACTGAGTTACATGCAAAATTCTTGAATGAAATTTAGTTATTTGAATTTGAACTTTTGATAAATATTATTCTAAAAGTTCAATAAAGGAATGATGAATATTCACCTTAAGGCTTCTTCTACCGTCTTTGTAAATGAGTCCGCAGCTGATGAATATCTTTTTGCTTAAATCTAAAATTCATCTGAATTCACAACAGTGATCTAATATTTTGAAAACATTTAATAAAGCATTCAAGTTACAAGCATAATTTAAAGTGTTTTACAAAATATGCTACACAAAAATTCTATGTTGCTATCATTCGAAATCAAAACTTAGAGTTAATTAAAGTTACAGTCACAGTTACAGATTCAGAAGAACATTCACAATAAATATAGAAGGTATTTATAACTGAATATCATTACTGTGAATTAAATCATAAATAAAGTTAAAACAAATTATTCTATTCATTGAAATTATTTAATCACTATTTACATTATAAAATTTAATATCCCCGTATTGTACTATCATATCTATAATGACAGGTTTATATATATGGTGCTTAAATAGTACTAAATAATACTATGTTTTTATCTAAGTTTCATTCATTTTAGAATCCTTGACCATCTTCTTAATTGTCAGAAAAGTTTAAAACAGTATTAAAATAATGCAATTTTGCTTATTTCTTTATGTGATTCTGAATGCAACTATAATGCATCACACGTGCTTATTCAGTGTTGCTCTGACTTGTGGCTTGTTTATAAATCTAATTTATTAAAATATTTTCCAGCTACTTTGAAAGTGCAGTCCTTGTTATTTAAAATAAATACTCTTTCAAATGAGCATATTTCTTAATTTCTTTCAGGCAAGGCATTTCATGTGTAGTGTTCGAAATGGTCTGCAGTTTATGTTGTGTTGTTGCCTGAGTATTGCATTACTTCAAATCATTGCTGACATGTTTTTCCTGCCTTTGGCTTTGCCTCTTGCTCATATGCTTTGGATGATTTGCCTTGAAATTCCTTTGCTTAGTTTATCTCTACTGGGGAATCCTCTGGATCCTCATGTAATGACACTAGCTACTGGAAAGAATATTAAAGTTGCAAATAAACAAGTAAGTTAATTATTGCTGTGAAAAATATTAATATCCATTTTTTCCCTTTAACAACTTGAATGAAACCTCTTATGAGATATTTATTGTTTTCAGTAAATGGATATGACATCTTTGCAATACAGAAAATGTTTTTCTTAAGGAGAGTATTTGTTGCAAGCAGTCTGGTAAAATAAATGCATAACTATGTTTTGAATAAAGTCTTCTCTTTATTAAATAAGTATGCAGATACTTCAAATGGTGCTAATTTAAAAAGAAATGTAATCATAGCTATTTTTCTTTTACCACTGATGTTTTTAGCAACTCATTTCATAAGATTTTATGTTCTATGGTACATTCGGAAAGTGACTATGCACCTGTCATGCAGTAAAAAAGGTAATACAGTCAAAAGTCATTAATCCGGACTCGTCGGGACTTCGGCGATTCCAGATTATCGATTTTTCCGGATTATAGATCATCAATTTAAATCTGGTAAAATGGCATGCAGAAATTATAAAATTAAAAATATGAAACCGTAATTTACGAAATAAAGAACAATTATGATCTAAAGTGTATCAAAATTTACAAAAAAAAAAAAAGCTTAATATTTATTTGTTTACTTTACTAAACATTTCTTTCAATGTAAGTTGTTTAAGTTGCTTCGTTTTTTATGTGATAATACATTCTCTTTAATTCTATAAACAGACATAATTTCTTGTTCAGTTACAAAGTTCCGCTGTTCAAGTCCTATAATTGCTGTGTCGAGAATACCGACTAATTTGTCAATCGAACTTTTTTCGTTTTCAATAACACTCTGTCACTTTCTTCGCTACCGGAAGCGAATTATAATGACGAGGCATTTGATTTAAATCATATCAAAAACGGAGTACATCAAAATGAAATACTACATTTAGTAAGCAATTATAAGCCAAATAAAATAAAATTATCTGCCCTGAAGATAAGGATAGTGCTGACAGATCAACTTCCAATTAATTGCGCGTGCCGCGGCGTTAAAGATAAACAGAGTTTAGATAAACAAAGGATATTCCTTTATTCATTTTTTGCAGAAATTCCACTTTTTGTTTAATGGACTCCGAATTATACTTTCGCTTTGTAGATCCGTTACATATTAGTAAATATGAATCGGAAATTCTATTTGACATAATCGAAAGTTCAAGCTTACTTTTATAAAATTGCTCTAACAGTCTGCAAAAAATAATAAGCCGGATCCAATTCGAAGATTAAGGAACAACGCAATCTGCAACATTAACTGAAATAGATAATTAGAGCTTAGCTTATACCGTCCGTTATACATTAAACGTGCATTAGTAAACGTATTTTGCGCACGTGCACATGCAAATTCGCAGCCGTAAAGGTCTTACTTTCTGCGCATGCGTCAATGTGACGCATGCGCAGAAAGTTTGTAGCTTTGAGGTCCGGATTATAGATCATTCCGGATTATGGGTGTCCGAATTAACGACTTTTGACTGTACATAACTTTCACTTACCTCACAGTAATTGTTGGAAATGTTCATCATGAGCCTCGAGACATGTGCACTTATCTCTTCTCAAAGACTCCAGCAAGTTGTGCCTGTGGAATATTTTTGGAAATCACGAAAAGCAGTTTCCAATTTGGGAAGCAAGTGGCTGTAAATGAATGCTTCTAATAATTGGAATAATAAATGGAACTATGCCTCATCAGTAAAAAAAAAAAAAAAAAAACATTGCCTATTATATTGTCAGAATTGTCTGCAAGGAACTGCTGAAAACCATTCACAAAACTGATGTCACTGGTTTTTTAGCGTCACTGGGAATTGCTGAACCACTTTTACTTTATATGGAATGAGACTAAGTTTCAGACAAAGCAACTGCAGTGTAACCAGTTGCATAAAACATTGTAACCAGCTGTTACATAAAACATACCCTTGAATTGCATCGGTTGGAAAAATATCTTACCTATAATCATGTCTATATGTAATTGTGTAAGTGCATGGTGATTTTCCGAACGCATTGTATATGGGACTAGTTCTTTAAATAGTAGGTCTATCATACCTAATTAGCATAAAAATGTTTCAGTGTTAAATTAAAATTTGCATATCAAGATCAGAGTACAGTTTTATTTTAATCTTATGATTTTTATATTTTTAAATATTGTTCTGACTCTTTTAAACTTTAATAGTAAACTCTTAAAACTATTTACTATTAGTATCTCTTCCTTTTGTAACAAATTGACTGAAGAGGGGGAAAAAATGTTATGCCTACTTTGGCTTAGAAATTTAGGTAAAATTTGAACCTTAATTGGTGTTGGTTTCGTAGGAAAGTTTATCTGTACAACTGTATTTGAAAATAGCCTACTGTTAATAAAAACTTTTATTAATATAATTATAATTTTTATTTGTTCATTTCTTTTTTTTAAACTTCATTAGTTTTGATTATCTTAGCATCATTATTATTACTTTGTATAAAATTATGTTTTCAGACTTCCTGTTAGGTTACTAAAAAGTTGACATACTAATAAAAAGGTGACATTCATACCTTTCTAGGGACAATCATGATGCTAAATAGTATTATATTTGTGGGAACAATTAATTCCATTGCAGTTCAGTTAAACAATATAAATACTTCTAAATCAAATTTGCAGCACATTTCCACATGCATGCACATCAAGAAATAATGATAATAATTGTGTTACTTAGCTGTAATTTAAAAATAGCAGCATTTCTAATGCTAATAATCATGGCTAATGATACAAATTAAAATAATTAGCAATGATTAGCTGAAGAAGCAGATAATTGTTGCTAATGACAGAAGTTAAAGTAATTAAAGATAATTTTGTTTTGAAATGAAATAAATAATTAAACGAAAAAATTATTAGTTCATACATATATAGTGGAACCTCAGATTACAGATGCCTCGAAACAGATTATCTGGACAAAAATTGTTTGGATGGTGAACAGTGTCTCGAGTTATTGACACTCAAGTCAGCAACAAATGATTGTCATTCATGTTTGGAGCTAATGTAATGTAAGTAACACTCAAAGTCCTTTACAAGCATTATTTTAATATTCCTCATTGCTTAACTCTTATTAAAAAAAAGCCAAGCAACAAGTAACTTACAGGACCATGAATTCAGCTTGGAAGTATAGCCAGACTGTGTTGTAGACAGAGATTTTGAAAGTATGGACAGTGAGGATATTTTCGATGATCGTTAGTCATGAGCTTGGAAGGTAATCATGAAAACTGTTATAAAGTGTGAAAGAGTTACTAGAGGACCATAAAAATGAACTCATCAAAAAATGATTGGAATAACGAAGCAGCAACAAAAGTAAATTGTGAAGAAAGCATCTTCAGAGGAAGAGGAAACAAAAGTAGATGAACCTAACAAAAGTAGATGAACCTATCAAAAGTAGATGAACCTATAATTGGAATAACTTCTGAAGCAGCAACAAAAGTAAATTGGGAAGGAAGCATCTTCAGAGGAAGAGGAAACAAAAGTAGATGAACCCAATTCTTTGATCTGCAAAATTTGTGAAAAATGGAGTAAGTTTCGTGCAATAATATGACCCTGATAAAGCAACAACAGCTGTAGCTAAAGCATTTTCAATAACAAAGCTGTTTTAGAACCTTATTTTAGAAATATTTTAAAATCCAAAACAAAAACATCAGATTAAACAAATTTGGAATAAAATGAAGGCTTAGTTTCAAGCAGATTTGAGTGGTGCTAAAATTTGGAATATGGCAAAGCATGCAAGGGCTATCTGTTTGAGAGAAGGGATGCCTTCATAGAGGCCTTTCTAAGAGAAACTGACTCATATTCACATTACATATGGGAAAATCTTGAAAACCAAGCATGTAACTAGCCCATTCATTTGGACTGAATTCCCAGTATTTAGCAGTTTTAACTATTTGGCTACTTGTGCGGCTAAATGGCATTACCAAAAAAATTCCTCCTGCAAAAAAATTCAGTTTCCACTTTTATCGTCCACTTTTTTTTTTTTCATATGAGTATGATAAAATTAAATTTTTGTCAGTTCTATCTGTTTAATATTGTATTTACCTTCTTGGCCTTAGATTGAATTATTTCCATTAATTTTGTAGTATGAATTTGTGCACAAATTACTGTTCCAAATTTTAAATAGCAATCATCTATAGTCCAGGAATAGATTAATCCATTTCATGATTCCTATGGGTTAGTTTATGAAAACTTGAGATGACAGACAGCCTTCAGGAATGAATTCATTTCATGATTTGAGGTTTCACTGAACTAATCTTGTACGTGCAAATAGGTGTTGTTTTAAATTATCTATCATTATCAATTTTAATGAAATATGAAGCATTAATTTAAATAGTCTCAAAATCAAAACTGAACATAGGTTTGATCAAAATTATGTCTTTTCTTGAAGTTCATTGAATTCTGTATTAATATTTTTAATATATCCACAAAGATTTTCTCTGTGAATATCACACCTTTAATATATTGTCTGTATGTTATTAGATCTTTATTGAATCTTAATTTATTATACAGTCAAAAGTCGTTAATCCGGACTTGTCAGGACTTCGGCGATTCCGGATTATCAATCTATTCAATTTTTCCTTTTGGATTATAGATCATCAGTTTAAATCTGGTAAGATGGCATGCAGAAAATATAAAATTAAAAATATGAAACCGTAATTTATGAAATAAAGAACAATTATGATCTAAAGGGTATCAAAATTTACAAAAAAAAAAAAAAAAAAAAAAAAGCTTAATATTTATTTGTTTACTTTATTAAGCATTTCATTCAGTGTAAGTTGTTTAAGTTGCTTCATTTTTTATGTGATAATACTTTCTCTTTAATTCTATAAACAGACATAATTTCTTATTCAGTTACAAAGTTCCGCTGTTCAAGTCCTATAATTGCTGTGTCGAGAATACCGACTAATTTGTCAATCGAAATTTTTTCGTTTTCAATAACATCTGTGTCACTTTCTTCGCTATCGGAAGCGAATTATAATGACGAGGAATTTGATTTAAATCATATCAAAGACGGAGTACATCGAGATGAAATACTACATTTAGTAAGGAATTATAAGCCAAATAAAATAAAAACATCTGGCCTGAAGATAAGGATAGTGTTGACAGATCAACTTCCAATTCATCGTGCGCCGAGGCGTCCCCCCCCCAGAGCAGCGTGAAATTGATAAACAGATTTCGGAATGGTTAGATAAACACAGAATATGCCTTTATCCATTTTTTGCACCAAGTCCACTTTTTGTTTAATGGACTTCGAAACATACTTTCGCTTTGTAGATCCTTTACATATTAGTAAATATATATCAGATATTCTATTTGATATAATTGAAAGTTCAAGCTTACTTTTATAAAATTGTTCTAACAGTCTGCAAAAAATGATAAGCCGGATCCAATTCGAAGATTAAGGGACAACGCAATCTGCAACATTAACTGAATTAGATCATTTTAGCTTAGCTTATACCGTCCGTTATGCATTAAACGCGCATTCTTAAACTTATTTTGCGCATGCGCACACGCATATTCGCAGTCGTAAAGGTCTTAGACGTATGCTCATCCGGATTATGGGTGTCCGAATTAACGACTTATGACTGTATTTCTAATTTTTGTGTATTTTAAACAAGTTTGAACTAATATTATTTCTTACTCTTTCATATTTCAGACAATTCTGTTTTTTATTGCATGCTATTGTGCCAAATTTTGCCCATCTGTGATGATTGCTGTTTTTTGTTTTGCCTGCATCATGTCCAGTTTTTGCAATATTTATCTAGACAGTGGCACACATATTTGCTGGGTGTTTCTTGGGTTCAGGTATGCTCATATTGCATAATAATTGTCTTGGTGTAATTATTTCTCTTTCTTCCTTTTTTTTTTTTTTTATCATGTTGGTGAAGTATCATATCTTGTATTTTGCACTGTATATGAAATCTGTGCATTAAATTTGTAAAAATGTACATATTTATTTTCCCAGCAGCTCCACTGAAAAGAAGCTTGATACTTCCATTTCATGGTTTGCTGCTTTAACTGTTGGCCAGAATGTTTTATCATTTTTTCTAATCATATGTTTTGGTAAGTGGTTTTTAATTTCCTGTAAATTATGCAATTATATTCATAAATAAGGCTTGTGTATATTTTACTTCAATATTTGCATATATATTTTACTTTAATAGTTTGTTGTTTACTTAAACTATTAAAGTTTTATATGTGTGTGTATATATTTATATATATGATAAAAGCAAACTTAGAAGTAATGACGAGCAAAAATCTTGATGGCATAGAAGAGTTGATCTATAATGAATAGAAAATTGGAGACGAAGGCAGATTAAATCTCCATTTTTTAAAATTTCAACAAACATGCTGTGGCCACAATCAAGTTGGCGCATTAATTGTGCCTATTCCAAAAAGTATACATTTTAGGTAAATTTGCAATAAGATAGAAGGAGCAGACAGACAGCCTGACCTAAGTTCAGCTAAGCCAAAGCGTAGGAAGCAAATGTGTTATGGTCAGGGTGAAATCTTAATTCAGACTGCATTAGTTTTGGTTCTCAATGTATTTTGATTGGATAGTTAATATTGCTGTAAAATTACTATTGGCTGCTTGCGTTTTAGTTTCGTTTATATCACCAGAATTATGTAAGAATCATATGACATGGATTAATCTAGAAATGACACAGTGCAGAGAGAGGTTACTATTTTTAGAATTGAGAAGGGAAATTTACAATGCTAATTTAATCTTTTACATATTCTTTATTTTTCTTACACATATACGAGGGCTATCCAGAAAGTAGATTACGTTTTGGAATAAAAAAATAAACAAAGTATAGGAAACAAATTTTATTATATACAGATGAAAGCCACACTCAAATACTACTTTTCTACATAGTCACCATACAAATTAAGGCATTTATCGTAGCGATGTACGAGCTTGGAAATTCCTTCGTCGAAAAATTCGGCCGCCTGCGCCTTCAACCACTTCGTTACCTCTTCTTGCAGCTGTGCGTCGTCATCAAAACGCTGCATAGCCAGCCACTTCTTCATTGCTGGGAATAGGTGGAAGTCGCTCGGTGCCAGGTCGGGACTGTACGGCGGATGAGGAGGAAACAACTCCCACTTAAAAGATTCAAGAACTTTACGAGTGACATTTGCCGTGTGGGGCCGGGCGTTGTCGTGAATCAACAAGATCTTAGAGCTCAACATTCCTCTGCGCTTGTTTTGAATTGCTCTTCTGAGTTTTTGGAGAGTTTGGCAATACCTTTGAGAGTTTATTGTAGTGCCTCTTTCCAGGAAGTCCACCAAAATTACACCTTTTCTGTCCCAAAAAACAGTCGCCATCATCTTCCTTGCCGACATTGTTTGCATGCATTTCTTGGGTTTTTGGGGAGAACTTGTGTGCCCCCACTGCATTGATTGCAATTTCGTTTCACAGTTCACATGTTTCACCCATGTTTCGTCACCAGTAACGATGCGATCGATCGAGTAAAGAGTCACCATCCTTATGGTAAGCGTCCAAAAAGTTCAACGCTGCAGCCATTCGCTGATTTTTGTGGTCCTCTGTCAAGATTTTTGGAATCCATCTTGCACAAAACTTGTGGTAACCAAGCTTTTCGCTGATGATTTCGTGCAACAAACTTCGCGAAATTTGTGGAAAACTCAAAGAAAGTTCCATTATTGTGAAATTTCGATTTTCACGGACTTTAGCATCGACTTTTTCGAGAAGTTCGGCGGTCACTATGCTGGGTCTCCCACTTCGATCTTCGTCGTGAACATTGGTTCGGCCATTTTGAAATCTTATGACCCACTGACGCACTCCACCTTCAGTGATAATGTTGTCCCCATACACTTCACGAAGCTGCCGATAGATTTCTATCGGTTTACAGTTTTTTGCAGTCAGAAACCTTATTACTGAGCGCACCTCGCGGGATTTTCAATTAACGCAGACATTTCAAACCGTCACAGTATCTGAACGGAGCACAGCACGAACCTCTCACTAGCACGGCTAGATGCAGACTGAGCTGCGCAACGCTCTGACCCCAAGATGGCCGCGTTAGCCCCGCCCCTAGCGGACACAGACGGAAACGTAATCTACTTCCTGGATGGCCCTCGTATATATAATTTTAAATTTTTAGTAGTTCATAGCATTTTTAAGAAAATGCTATTGTAATGAAATTTCATTTTGTTGGATTATGTGTACTAATAAATATATATTTATAATTAATGCATCAAACTCAGAAATATGTGCAATTTCCATATGAATTAACAAAACTCTTTTTGTTTTTAAGAGAAAGGTTATGCATGGTGATATTTATAATTTTTTATACATGAAATAATTACAAGTGGTCTTCAATTCGATCTGGTCCAGTGTTTGTTGATTTTGAAGCCATTTAGTAACTAAAAATAAATATATGTTATTTATTAAAAAAATAAATAAATAAACAAAAACTTTCTCCAATTTTGTAGTGCGTTTTTATGTATGTAATTGTAATCCTCATGACACTACTTTTTAAAAAAGTAATAAATAGTCTGTCTTTTCAATTATAAATCAGTTTTTGCTGTAACGAGAATCTATTTATATTTATTAGTTTTTGCATATTTGATTTCATTTCCAGCATTTAAATCTATCAGTTGATAAAATTAATTTCTGAAATTGCCCTGGATTAATTTTTATCTTGCAGATTTCTATGCATCGATGAAAATGTATTTAGCTGCTTTGTAACAGCAAAGATGACTAATTTTACTTACATTCAATTACATGAAATGGTTACAGCCAATCAAATGAACAGCAAGTTGCATATAATATCAGACAGTCATAAACTAGCAATGCTGAATGATTGCTCAACTTGATAAACAATACTTTCACGTCAACAAGACCTTACACTGTAGAATATAATTCAGATTTATCAAAAATCTCTTTCAATGAAAAACATTTTTAAGAGAATTGTATCCTTTTCATGTGAAAGCAATTTTGGAAAATCATCGCTTGGCCTTAAAGATCAATTGATGTGGCATATTGATGTTAAAGTGAAAAAAAAAATATTGTGGCAACTTTTGGTATAAACTGTTCTGCATATTTAAATTTACTCATTATTTTATATAATTTCTGAGATAATTTGGGATTGTTTTCTAACTTTTTAAAAATTTTTAAATGTTTTTTTGTTTATGCATAATTATTTATATTTTTTATTTTTCTGAAAAGTAGAAAAACTAAATAGAATTTGATATTTTGTTTTCATAACATAAAATGCAATAAAGAGCGTATTAAAATTTTCATAGCTTGTCATTGCTCAGAAATATACTTGGGTGAACCACTGTGATGGTTTTGTCATCCTGACATTAGTCAACCAAACCAGAGGTGAGGATTAAAAACAGTTCTACATGCCAGGTGTACACTGAAACTATGTATCGTGTATATTTGTTTAAATATGGAGAACACATAAATATTATCTTCATAAAGGGGTCTTCATGAAGAACTTTCTAAGAAAGGCTTGTTTCTAAGTTGTAAAAGAGGGAAATACCCATGCAGTCAACCCATTAGCCAGGATGAAACCTGGGTCAAACTACCATGTTCAGTGTTCTTAAACACTACTGTTGATGTTTAGTAAAAGCTGATATTTGAATTTAGGGCTTAGAACTTCCATTTTCTACATTCTCTGTATTATAAAAAATCACTTAACATTATAGAAGTACATTTGCTCATTTTGAAAGCTGATTCATTATTTAAAATTAAATGAGTAATGTTAGCTTTCTATTTCAGTTAAAAAATTATTTATAACATGTAAGGTATTTTACATTAATTAAACAATTATTATGATTTAAACCTGTTCTGTAATTTTCCCTTCTATAATCCTTACCAGAATGCTAATTAGCATTTAAGCTGAGGGTTTGAATATTTAAATTAGAACTTCTGGATGCCTTGTCTTGCTGTTACTTATTATTGACATCTCTGCTTAAGTTTACTATTGCCTTTAGTATCTTGCTAATTGATATTTAAAGTATGTGTTATAAACTATCTTGTGCCAACTTGAGCAGTCTATGCAGTCTATTTTATGTGTAATCTCAGACTACGTTGTCTACATTAAAATTGAGCCTTTTGATATTTTAATTTAAGTTCCTGCAAGTAGTGGAGGTTCGTCTGTCACATAAGCAGTTACTTTCTGTTTATTTAAGATTTATTCAAAAAAGGCTATTTTAACCATCTTTAGATTTCCCCACCCCCAAATTAAGTGATAACTCATTTCCAGTCTAATAGGGTCTGCAGGACATTAACCCAAACTTCTAGATACAGCAAAACCCTACAAACCTATTTTCTTATTTGAAAGAAAATTACAGTGAATCCTTTCATGATTCTCTCATCCCACAGATGACACCTATGAAAATTGTTAATACTTCTGAAAAATAAACATTAATACTTTTAATTATAATAGCATTCTCTAAGATGACTACTTTCTAATATAACGGAGACCATCCATGCACATTGATACATAAATTGTCTAATTTTGCTGTCAAATTAAAATTATTTTTGTGCTTCATATGCCAAATGAGTTATTTTACTTCCAGTTCTAATTGCATTGGGGAGGTTATTTCTTTGGGAAAATATTCAGTGTGATTTATATGGTGAAGCACTACACGACAGTTGTCTATTCAGTGTCATATCCCATTCTTTCAGATTTTTATGTTAATAGATACTTTGAATGATCTGCAACATTTCCATATTGTTTATAGTAAAATTTCATTTCATGTTCTGAGCAGGTAGTATTGATAAAATAAGGTTAAAGTGACACCTGAAGGTAATTAATTTTTAATCTTTGTTATTGCAATCATCTGTATTGATTTTGAAAGTGAAAATTTAATGTATCTATCTGTATACACTCAAACCTATTTTTGTGTCGTATATGAAAATTTCAGTCAACCTGGAACATAATGATATGATTATATGCAGCAGATAAAATCTATGCAGGTCTCCAACTTTGACATAAATTAGAATGTCATTTTCTTGCAGTCAATGCCAATTTTGAAAGAACTTCAAAATTCTGCAAGGAGCTTCAATCTTGCATATCTGGCTTCTGAGACATATACAAGCGTCTAGTGAAATAACACTCGTGACAAAAACCGATCACCGACTACATGGTAACTGAAAAAAGTCAATTCTATGCGAGTGTGAGGGAGTATTTTCAAGTGACGAAAGCGACTTTGAAGTAGTTTACCACAAGAAAGTTTGTGTATTGTCAGACTATGAAGGATAGCGTTTATACATTTTGAAAAGTTTTGTATGTGTAAAATAAGTAGATATGTAAATGAAATATTTAAAAATGTTTGCATGTGTATTTTCTAAATCAGATTCTAAAAGGTTTGGCAAGATTCTAAGTAGTTGCCAAGCCTCATGTCTTGATTTTGTTTAAAAAAGCAATTCCTGGTTATTTTTTAAGGTTTTAAATTATTTTCTATGCGAGACTTTTTTTTATGCAGTCCCTATTCACTGTATAAAAAAAGTGCTTTTTAATTGTGTTACAAAAAATAATTTTTGTAGCTATTTGTGAAATATTGTGCAATTTTTTTTTCATGCAATCTCTATCCATCGCACAAAAACAGGTTTGAGTGCATGTCTTTCTTTCATTTTTTTTATTTATTTTATTTATTTTTTTTTAAAGCTTCGTAATCTTAACCTTAGATTAAAATGCTTGCAAATTGAAAAACAAAAATTTTAAATTCAGAAATGGGACCAAAATTTACTGAGGAAATTACAGGCAGTCTGCATCAAAGGGTTAATAGACTTCAAGGGGGGGGATAGTTTGTTAATCTGTGAGTTTTTTTGAAATTACTAAGTAAAACTTACATGTAAAGTTTTTATCTAACTTTGCTTTTATTTCCCATTATCGATCTATTTTCTGTCTGTTAGAATATGATTTACTGAGAGAATTTAGATGTAAAATAAATTTTTATTTGTCTTTGCTAAAGTTTTCACTGCTTGTCTTTGTAACTAATACATAATATTAATAACGTAAGAGCATAATAATTTGACCTACCACTCTTCTACTTCAGAATTTATTTAACAAACTCCAATAACCTTGATTAGAATAAATCTCTTATTCAAATTGGGTTCATCATCATCATGCTGGCTTCTTTAAGATGACCATCGCAACACAAAAGACCAAAATTTATTGGAATCGCAAGTGTTGGAAAAATTCCATCTTGTATAGATTTAGAATTATGTACTTTCATACTTCTATTTTTGGCTTATTATGTAGAAAATCATTGAAGTCATGCAAAAATTTACATTTTTTTGGTATACAATTATAAATATGTTCTAATTTATTATTATTAAACAAATTTTAATTAAGTTTTTTAGTTATTTCATTGTCATGTGTCATGTAAAACAAAATCTCTGATTTGAATTTTCTATGCAAAGTTTATGCAAATTTTCAAATTGTCAATGAGCAGCGCAGGATTTTACAAGTGGTTGGAATTTTTCCAAGATGGCCAAGAAAATGTTGACGTTAACAATAATTAAGAGAGCCATAACCAACATAATTGAGAAAAGCATAAAAGACACTTTCAGCTGGAAAATCATCGAATCACTTTTCATGACATACCTGAAGAATTCAGTATTAGCTATGGTTCAATCCAGTCCATTTTTACTGAAGATTTGAGCTTGAGAGGTTGTTGATATTTGAAGGACTAGAATAAACTGCTGCAGTGCTTGAGGAAAAGAAACAATAGAAAAGACTACAGTTTTGCATACCTGATGATTGGGCAGTTCTACCCTGACTGCGTATCTGCCCATTCAGCATACATAGCAGTTTTTGACCAAGCATAAATTTTTTCTAGTGTGATTCCACATTCCCCAGATTTTGTATTCTGTAACTTTCTCCTTTTCTCAAAAATTCAGTATGACTTGAAAGAAAGTGGATTTCTAAACATTAAGGAAATCTAATAGAACATGATGAGGCAGCTGCTTATTATCGGGGGGGGGGCTTAGGCATGTTTTAGTAGTGGAAACATTGCTGGATAATTTGTAACATTGTTTGGCATCTTAATGAAGGTGATTGAATCCAAATCTGTACATGGTATAGCTTCAGTCCCTGTTTTTTTTTATCATACCCTATGTATTAAAAAATATAGTATCTAGTTTTATATCATTTGTGCTATCTTTACATATTCATGCTTTTCAAAACTTTAAACAAAAGCATCTTTTGTTACACTCATATGATCATCTAACATTTTTTAATTATATTTTTTGAATTTATGAATTATTTTTTTAGGGTGTTAAAGAAACTGAATATTTATTTCTGATAATGTAATAAAACAATAGTGTTCCTTTTGGTCTGTTGAGAATATCAAAAAGCTATCTCAACACACCAAAAGGCACACGCTTGTTTTAGGAGATTATAAGAATTCTGTTGTCATTCCTTTCTTTCCACCAGTTAGCTATAAAATTGCATGTATTTTACAGAAATTTAACTTTCGTCTCGTTTATTCTCCTGTCAATGAGATTCCAAGTTCCATACTCAAGGACCACATTCCAAATATGAATTCTTGGGGTATTTACAGGATTCCTTGCCAATGTGGTTTAATTTACGTTGGTCAAGCTAAGACAACTTTAAAATTTCGCTTTAAGGAACATGAGGCATATGTTAGAAAAAAGGAAACAGAAATCCTCTGCTACCCAGCATTGTTAGTCCAAAAATCACACTTTCAATTTTTTCTGCAGCCCAAAACTATTCAAAAAACAACTTCCATTGGTGAATTAGATTCTCTAGAGGTGTTTCACAACGCCCCCCCAAAAAAACACTTTCTGTTCTAGTTAACAACCCTAATTCCAATCCCTCTTTGCCTTCAGCCTTTAAGGAAATTATGTTTTAGTTCTCATTTCATCAATAGATGGTACCAGTAGATTAACTCCTATCCAACCATTCTTATCTAATCATTATATCTTATCTAATCATTATCTCGTTTATTTGTGCTTTGGCAGCTGAGGATGATGGTTTGGTATAGCCATCAAAACTAGTCCTGTGAAAATTTGCAAATATAACATTGATTTTTGTTGCTTACTTCTAAATTAATAATCATATTATAAATTAGAAAAATTATGGTTTATTTTATATATGCCAAATACAAATACAAGATTGCTAAATTTCAGACAAGTATTAAACATCATAAAGTCCATGAAGATGCAAAATATTTATTTGGTGATTATTATACTGTAAATAAAAATTAAGATTTATTTTATATGTATAAGATATAAAATCAAGCCTCTGGTATTTTCACACAAATATTATACTGAGCTATCAAAATTATTCATCATTCATTTTTAATTTCTCAGTTATATTTCTAGTAATGAATTAATTTATTAAAATGTTAATTCATAGACTGTAATATGGTCTCTAACTCAGAGAATATTGCAGTATTTGGAAGTATTATTGAATAGCCAAGACTGAAAATTCTCAAATGTTTTGATTCTCGGTGGTTTGTTTGATTTATGATGTGTTAGCTTTTTGCTGATCACAATCACTTAACAGGCTTTAAATAATTATTTTCGTTTAATGGATTCAAGATAAAGGATTTAACTGTATATTTATTAATGTACGCTCATTTTTGTAAAAATTTGTGCACCAAGAAAAATTTGTCAAAAATCGATCAGAATTTTTATACATATGAGTGCAATGTTGATATAAGTAAGTGATTATAAAATCAAAGCATTAATTTATTACAGAAAAATTACAAATGAATGAAAGTTCTGCTATCCTGCTGGGCCACTTCTAGCATGAATACATGATGTGATCTTGTGGTCATGTGAATACATGATCACAGGTCCTGTATGGTGTTTCGCATCATCTGAGTTACTATAAGTGCACTTGCAGCTCATGGGATCTCCACACATGTACGTGGTTGTCATCACTACCCAAATTGAGTCTTGATTCATTATTGAAAACAACTTTGTTCCATTTGGTTGCAGTCCAGTCACATCGAGCATGACACCACTCCAAATGAAGGTTATGTGGGTGGCATCATTGGCAGCATGCACAATGTGAGCTGCAATACCAAACGTACCTGATGTGTACCTTCTGCCAGTCACATTATAATGGTATGGATAGACACAGAGGCCTGTATTGAAAATGCTGCCTGTGTCTCAATGGCAGACAAATGATGCAGTTGGTTCTATGTGTGCATGTTGAGTGATGTAATAATCTTGGCTGTTGGTCTGCTGAAGGTGTCCTGAGCCTGGCCGCTTTGTGTACAACTTCTATCTCATCCACTGGTCCCAACACCTCCTCACATTAATGTCAGAATGGCCTAGGTGGCAGGCTCTTTACTGAGCTGACTAACCCAGCTTCCATCATTTCAATGATTCTTCTCCTGTCAAACTTTGAAAGCTGATCATATTGTCTTCAATGGCATTGAAATGGCATCCCTAGTGGAAAAACGTGCCTCTACAACAAATTAAGTACAGGCAAAATGTCTTAGCCTATATATTTCATGCACGAGGGATAACAAAGTTCAGCATTCTCTAGTGGCAGTGCAGAATCAAACCATATTTTTAATCATTTGCATATTTGCTTGATGTACCTGTGTGCCAAGTTTTGTTACAATTCAACAATTATTTTTCGGTATGTAAATTTGATGGTATGAGTGTATGTTGTGATTATTAATATAAAATACGGTTTATTTTTCCTGCAGATTATTCATTAATTACTGATTTTTTATTTAAATTGTGATAGTAAATGAATATTTTTTCCCCACATTTTTTCCCAGTGTTTTAATTTGTATATAATTTTCCATCATCATAATTTTTAATAAAATGCTTAATGTATGTCTTTATTTTTTAGTTTTAATATCGATGAGTTTCATTCATCGTTCACATCTGCTGTGGAAGAGCAATCCATTTGCTAATAAATATTGGCGTATTACAGCTGTTTCTGTGTAAGTCCCTATATTTGTAGAACACATGCAATTAATACAGTTACTACTTTGTTATTTTGCTGTTTATTAATAAGTCATTTAATTTATTTTTAGGATTTTCCTTCAGTTAATTTTCAGTGTGATTGATATTGCTGTGCATGTTGATAAAAAATTAGAACCGGTTAAAATTCTGGATCATGTGCCATATTATGTATGGTTAGTTTGTGGTTTATGGCCATTTGTAGTTGTGCCCTTAAATGAACTTGTTAAGAGGCATGAAATCAAGTAAGTAAGAGTTTTGTTAAATTTACACAAAATGTCATAATTTCTCTTGATTTTATGTATATATTTATGTAAGCTTAGCATGCTTCTTTGACATGCAGTTTGTTTCTTGGGGAAAAATAATACATAAATGTACAATTATGTTAAATCATAGGTTAACTAGATTGTAAATAAGATATAATGAATTTACTTGATCAAAATGTCATATTTGATGCTTAGGATATTCACCATTACATCAACAAAAGGCTTCTGACTTCTAAAAGAAGGTCGAAAGTATAATAATTAATTAATGCAATAAACACTAAAATTGAATTTGTATGAGATTTCCTAGTAAAGATTTAGGTATTTTCTGGTAAAATTACATGTATTGTATATTATTATTATTTCTTCCTTTTTAAAAAAAGAAATTAGAAGGATTTTCTGTAAATCATTCAGTATTTTATCCATACTCAGTTGTACAAGATTCACTATATTATTTCTAATTTCACAGGAATACTTTTTGTTGGTGTCTGTATTAAGACTGAACTAATCATCCATTTAGTAACGACTTCATATTTACAAGATCACAGTTCCTATTTTATTTTCAGATTCATTTCAAATGTGATACCCCAAAAAATGTTTTTATAATTGATTATTTACTTTCAAATTCTTTAATATCAAGTAAAACCCAATTACTTAAAATGAATTAAGGTGTATTAAAACTACTTTTTTGATAACTTTTATTTACATAAAAATAAAATGCATGTATATTAAAGTTTTATATATCATATAATATTTTACTCATTTCTTTCTATAGAGTTAATGTGCGTCAACAGAAAAGAGCAAGACTTGAATTTTGTACAAAATTAGGAATGAATTCGCCATTTTAAATAATTTTATGTAATCACTAGAAGAGTGTTTTTAATATTTGTTTTGAAGAGAACATAAAGGACAGGATTTTTAAAAATTTTTGTAGTCCAGTTTGTATATTTGATGCATATATATGAGGATTAATATTAAACTGAATTTCTATATATTTATTTTTGTTAAAAATGTATAAATTTGTCTTATGAACACATATGGAGAATGAGATTGATGTAATCGGAATATTCTTATTTATATGTTTGTGTTCTAGTCTAAATGAAATATTTAATCATGTTAGTAGATGTATATAACAACATTGGTTAGATTAAAGTTGCTTTTATTTTTACATAGCTGCCAAGTCTCTCAGTTTTTTATCCTGGTAGGTCACAGAATATCCTGGCTTTAAGATTTTAATCTTTACTAAGCAAAATATTTGTCAGCAATAAACGATTCATTCAATTAATGAAAAAAATGTGCAAATTCCATTCTTCCACACCCTAGTGATTTTTAGCATAATTTTTCATATTAAATTTTATTTGTTCTGAGTTGTCTTAATCTGCTGTAGACATTTGTGTAACATTTTATGAAGATTCAATCCATTTTTAAGCAATTCTTTCTATTTAATTTTGTTTTATATCTACTATATATAGTACTTGACTAACAGTAGTATATCCATTAATTAGTAATAGTAATAGTATCAATATACAGTATACAATATACAGTATAGTATCAATATACAGTATCAATATACATAGTATTCAATATACAGCAGTATATACATCAATTATTATTAATCCATACAATAGTATATGTATTAATTTTATTTTCATTTTGTTTAAAAGTGTTTTGATAAATGAGTACTCTCCTTCCCCACTTAGGATTTTCTCAATATAAAAGTATAAAAAAATTACAAAATGAAATTAACTATGGACATAATGTTCTTTGAATATAATTAAATATTAATATATTTTACATCAAAATCCTATCATAAATAGTTCAGTAGTCGTAATCATATATTATAAATGTAAGTCAGTTTGGAGTTCTTTTGAAATGCCATCGTGCACAATTCTTATATGTTCCGGAAAACTCACAGTTTTTTATATTTCAGTTTTGGCAGCTATGTTTATAGAATATATTTTAAATCAGATTTATTATTATGAATTTTTGGTTTTGTAACTGAATTAGGTATTATTTTCCACTATCTTCTGTGATTTATAATGTGTCAGTAAAAAATAAATAGCTTGTATTTTGTTTGAAACCTTTGAACTGCAAGTGTAATACCAACCTCTTTGTATAAATGCAGTGGAACTCCAGTAACCAAATCTTTTCTTTTTTGGCCTAGAAAAATTTAACTTGTTAAGTTTGTTTACACTTTTTGTTGATTTAAATAACATAAAAAGGAACATATTTTTGGGACACTATTAGGTAAATTTATAATGCAAATTTTTATATCCAGTCATGTAATAGCATTATCAGATTGTTAGTTTCATTATTGTTAGTTCGTTCGTTAAGTCAATAAAGTATAATATCGTAGTTTTCAAAGCGAGTTATACATTTTATTTTTTACAAATACAAAATAATTTCTTCATTTCATTTTGTAAAAATGAAAATTTTATCAAAGAAGTGTTTAATCAAAAACTTTATTTAAGTAGGTATTAATTTTATTGTTGGTTATATGTTCAAGTAAACTGAAAAATAATTCATTACTTAATTTTATTAAAAAATTGGTTTTGCATTTGTAAAAATAAACATATTTTATATTGTAAGAAACAATTAAATCTATGATGGGTATTTATATGCAAATATTTATTCAAATACAATAATAAACAAGAATGAAGTATGAATTTCAAAATAAAATTCCCTTACTTAAATTATAGTAAATAGAATTTACTATTTTAAAGCCTATAAAAAAAAAAAAAAAAAAAAAAAAAAGCAACTCAGTTATCCAGATTTTTTTAAATATCTAGATGAGCTGCAGCAATTTGGGTATTTAGGATTCTACAGTATTTTTTGAAAATCATTAGCAGTGCTTAAATGTAGTTGAATGTTTTTGTGCACTAAGTTTTAAAATGTTATGAGTGAAAAAAAAAAAGTAAAAATTTTTATTGCCTTTTATCTTGCATTAGGAAACAGAAAAGGGGGAGGAGTAAATCTACCATTTCGTTAAAATACATTAATGTTTCTTTATATTTTAACCAACCCAATCAGAGTGGCTTTACTCAGAATTTTAATAAAAGTGCATTTGGTTTGTTTGAAGTATATTTTATATTTTAATGCTGTAGTCAGAGTTTATATTATTCAGATTTCAATAAGAAATTTAAAAATCTCATATTTGCTATTATATATTTATTGTATAGGACTTCTTAACACTTATCCCTTTTTATTTGCTTATACTTTTATAATGCCATTGTGAAAAGATACAAAAAAAAAAAAGGGAGATCACTTTGACTGATTACAGCATTGAGTGTAGAGTAGATTTCTTTAGCATCTATATACAAGGTATGTCCAGAAAGTAAGTTCCATTTTGTAAAAGGGAAGATCACAATTATTTTTTCAAGCAAATTTTATTTTTATATGAAAGTTAATTGAGATATATTTCTACTTAGTTTTCACCGATGTTGAGACATTTGTTATAGCAGATGACCAGCTTACTTATCCCTTCCTTGAAAATTTCTGCCAGTGATGACAGCCATATCTTCACAGCACTTTTTGTTTCATTATCTTTTTTTAAAATGCTGACCTCCAAGGTGACGTTTTACGTGCGTAAATAAATGGTAGGCAGACCATGCTAGATTTGGGCTGTAGGGGGGGGGGTTGTGATCAATCTGCTGCCAATCAAATAGCTCAATTTGCATTTGAATGATACTGGCAACTTGGGGCTCTGAGTATTGTCATGAAGCAAGAAAAATCCTTCACTAAGTATTCCTTGTCTTTTGTTCTGAATTAACATGGTGTATATAATTTTTTGGGTTGACACATTATTTTAAATTTTTTCCTTTTGAGAATCCCTGCATTCTTTGCTCAGTCGACTGCTGTTTAGATTTTTGGGTTATGTGGTGAACTTAAGTTTCATCACAAATTAGCTTAAGCATTTTTGGTATCCAACAGGCACACAACTTACAGTAACCTAATTGGCAGGAAATAATTTTATACAAAAAAGTTTTGTACGAAATGTTTAAAGGTGAAATAAGAACAGTAAAGTTTAAAACTAAAAGGAAGCAGTAAAGAATCATTAATTTTGGCAGCATGGCACTTTGTAGCCAAGTGTTAGTTTATGCAGCTCATTACGTTAGAGTAAAAGCTGAAATTTACATCATTATATTAGTTCTAACTATAAAATTTTAACGCTAGAAATTTTACCTACAGTACTGCAAAACCCTCAGCTTTTTTAAAGAATAAATTAAAATTATTAATTCTTTTAGTTCAGCTGTTTATAACATAGAATTCTTTCGATACTTCATGATGTGCTTCAAAGTTGAATTTTAATAACCATAATTTCTTTCTTATTTTAATTGAATTTCTAAATTTCCATAACAGATTTAATGCCCCTTCTCACTGTTCACCTGCGGTAAATGCCTCATTTGCCTAACCCTTGTCCTGGCTGCACTAATTGTTTAGCAAACTGCAGGGCCGAACATAATAGTGAGTGGAAATTCAGCAGACATGGAAGACTAGTGTGCAAGCTCAAGCACTGTCAGTAGTGCTGCGGCAGTGAAACAGTGAAATAGAACTTACTATCTGTACATGTCCCTTGTATATCCTGTGATTGACTGGTATCAATTTGTTATCTTAAGGAATGAGGATATACTTTCCTAGTTGTAAGTTCCATGCAGTCTTTGTCATGATTGCTAAACTAGTACTTTGGCTTTTTTAAGAGTTTCAACACATAAATAAAAAGTCCTTCCCCTTTAAAAAATGCTATTATTATATTTAGAATTTTCAAAACATGGAATTTCACTTTGTGTGTAATTGTTTAATGCACGTTATGAAAATAGGATGTTTAATTTTTTAAAGAACTTTAAACCCCTAAGCGGCATGACAATATCCAGTCATGAGATGTTTTGTCACTTGGTGTATATTACATCATAATTTAAAATATTGCACTTTTTTTTATTGTAATCTAATGTTATAGATTTTAATTATATGACAAATTTAAAGAAAATATTATACAACATTTTATATTTATTTTACATATTTGAAATTAGATTTTATGTCATAGCCTTTCAAATTATGAATTCATAAATTTTATTATAAATGAAAAGTATATTTTGTTTATTAAAATATTACTATGAAAATTCAATGTATACTCACATATAGGATATGTGGTATATTTCACTTAATAAACTGAGTCCATTAATTATACATTTTTGTAAGTCATTTTATTTGTAACAAAATTTATAATATCTAGAAGTTTTGTAATATTCATATGAAGGCATAAAACTGCTGTCATCAGCATCTGAACTTTTAGTACTAAACTATATACGTATGTTTATAGATTCAGCATATAAGTTATTGAAATCAAATTGTTGTAGATCAAGAGAGGAAGTTACTTTCAACCTTGTGTTGGAGGCATTTTCTAACTGACGTGTATTAGTAATATAAGAGTTCATTTGCATTGCAATAATATGTAAATATTCTTGATTTTTCACTGTAATAGATGTTATACAGAAATAACTGAAATTGTTTTTAGTATGAACAATAATAAGATGCACCTCAGTTTCTATTATTTGTATATATTATATTTTTTGCATAAAACTTTTCTGATTGTGTAATTAAAAAGTGTTTAGAAGAAAACTTTTATGCAATATCAATTACTAAAATTTTGAAATTCTATAAATTTTTGGGTAAAAATGCATTTATTTAATAATTAATGTAAACTGGAAATAATTTGCAAATTACGTACAAATATGCTTTTTCCCCCCCAAATTTTGAGTTTAAAATTTATAATGTATTTTGCATCTTTTTATTGCTTACTGCTGTTGATTTGCTTAATATTTTTGGTACATAATGAAAGTTTTTTCTTTGAATTTCATGTCATTCCAAATAGTTCCTTCATTAACTAATTGAACTGATTGTTTTCTTAAAATAAACTATGCTTTTATTTTATGCACTTTTGTTATTCCTTTTGTGGAAATCTCAAATGTCTAGTAGTCCATTTCAGCATTTAAAATGCAATAAAAATTACAATTTCTACTAACATACAAATTGACTTCTAGATTATCTTTGAAATATTAACATATTAATATAAGTTGATAAATATTTTCAACATTATAAAAAATATTTTCAACGTGAGTGAATTAGGTCTAAATTCAGTTTTTGAATTAATACTTTCATTTTTAATCGAAAATTATGATTATTTTATCATTTAAGTAAGGCTGTCCATTTAAGCTTAGCCGGACTTAAACAACTTTTAAATTATTGACAATTCTTCAACTATTGCATGCAGATTAATGAAACGCATATAAACCTTAACCGGAATATAAGAGCAATATAATTCAATCATTTTTAAAGCAAAAAAATGGACGATTTACCAACATATAAGAATAAAAAAAACTAAAACTGACCAAGCCGAGTAACAGATATACCATACATTTACATACTTTTGGCAAGGTCGTTTGCAGCCATAGGAAGATGCACAACTACTTGTTGTAGCAGTTTTATATACAAAATTTCAACATTGTGAGGCTACTCGTTTTGAGTTATACCAGATACATATGTACGTACAGACGTCATGAAAAAAATCTCCTCTGAATCCATTTTAAATCTATTTTGCAATCCGTTGTGGGAAAAAGACTCCTTTATTCTGTCCTTATGTACAGATGTCACGAAAAAACATCCTTAAATTGCATTTGATAGCGGTCAAAATGGATATTTTTATTCAAATATGATACCTGAAATTTCTCGAGATTACAATAGTTCCTTTACTTTGTACAAAGAAGTAAAAAATGTCTATAGTATGCAAAATGACTATATAGCCACAAGGAAGTAATAAAAATTGCAATAGAGTGAATAAAGTCGGTCTTATTATCGACAACGATTGTTTACATTAAGGGGAATGAAAAAAAAAAAAAACTATTTTCAGCTAGAACATTGCTTGACAATGGAAGTATGATCCATCTTTGTTCATCGGAATTAGCTGAAAAGCTAGATTTGAAAAAGAAAAATGTAAACATATTACAGTAAGACCCCGCTTAACGTGGGGGATACGTTCCATCAAAGTAGAGCGTAATGCGAAACAGCGCTAAACGAGGCTATCTTTACATGTAAATATTGGGGTTAAAGGGGAAGATGGCTAGGTTCTTAGCCTTTAACTCCTGTTAAAATTTAGGTCATTTTTAATAAATTGGTAAACCATACATTTCTGTCTTAAAGCCCAAATTAATACCACATTATTATTTCTTGCAAAAATAAAACAAAATATAATAACAAAACGAATATTCTTAAAAAAAAAACAAATAAAATTCTAAGTCAGTCATATTTAGTTAGCCTTCCGCGTTTTCAGTGTTCTGCCTTTTTGTGACAAAAGCATCTAATGTTGTTTGCCTTTTTCTTTCGTGTTCTCTTAAAGTTCTTCATAAACGGATAGAGCATCTCTAACACCACGCCTTACTTTTGAGCTCCTGTCAAAATTCGGATCATTTTTCAATGAATTGATCCATTATTTCAGTTATGGTAGACAACTCCTTTTTACAAACGCCATCGAAAGTCTTTTTGCTCTTCCTCTGAATCACTGCTGTCAACATTTTTGTTTTCTTCTTGTTCAGTTAATTCCTTGAGCTCATCATTAGAAAAGACTAGCTGCTGCTTCTTGAATTATTTCTTCGACATCTTCCACATTTACCCCTTCAAAATATGTCTGTACAATACCGCACCAAACAAGAAATACAAGTACTCTCTTTCGGATATGTATTTGAAACCTATCGCTGCATAATATTTCGGGGAATCCCCGTATGCTGCGAGCGATTTCGTGGAATCCCCGGGTTGAAATAAAAGAGCGCTAAACCGAAACAGCGTTAAGCGGGGTCTTACTGTAATAGGATATTTATCAGCGATTTAAACATCGGTGAAATCAAAAATGAGTGCGATTATTTT